ATTTATTGAGTTTTTTTTTTGCCGTTTTCAGTGCAGCTAAAAGACGAGGGAAATAAGTGAATAAATATTATCCCACAGCTTTTCCTAGAACATTTGCTTTTGACCACCCACAGCTGAAATGTGTCGTGATTAGGTCTTTTGCCATAACAATGCGTTCGGCACATTGATGTTGATTCTGCATTTCAAACACGCACGGTTCAATGGGCATTGTGTCCTAAAAGGGTCCGTGCTCGTAGTCGTAGCAATATTTTCACGTGTTGATTGGGAGTCGTTAGCTGTTTTCGATCGAGGCGCTGTAAGCCACTTCTCCTTTTACGGCTCACCTTATGTTCCCTTCAGCCGGGTGAAAGCCAGGCGATATACCGACTACTAATGGAGCCTGAGAGACCACCAGGGGTTTATTTCTTCCATGCCGTTGTGGTTCTCTACTCTGGAACGATGCGCGTTCCATATAGACGTCCTTTACTTTTGGGAAACTGACCCACAGGGCAGAGGAGAGTGGTTATTTTGGACCGCTTCAAGAAGGGATGTGATTATAATCGATACCATGTATCAACTGCGCCTCATAAATCAGGCGTTGCCATGCTGCAGAAAACTAACCGATCGATAATATTTTCATGTGATTTTATTGAATTTTGACTTATTTCCCTTCCTCGCCTCACCCCCCACACCCGAAGGATTACACTGTATGTGGTAAGTATTAGGTACCGGATATCTTAGTGTCGCTTTTCTGAGTTCAGGAAGTTTTGGGGCCGATTACTATGGAAAATCAATATCCCAGAAGGCAGTTTTTGCTCATTAATATTGCGAAATATGTTGCTTACCGTCTTCTATTGTTGGTTCACAATTTAACTTTCCCCCAATTTTTATACTTTCTTCTGAAAATTCCTGGGTCCAGTGTGCAAATTCGCATGTGTGTACCAAATGCATCAAAATTCTTGCTGAGAGCTGTAACCTCCGCCCACCAAACCAAGCATTGCATTTGATGGAGGGAATACTACCATTTAAAATGCTCATCGGTTTTTCACAGTTTTCTTAAAAGACAGTAAAGTCTTTGAAGGGATGCCCGCAACCGTCGTCAAAAAGGTGGTCCTAGCTAAATCAGTCAAAACGGGGCTGCACCAGTCTTGTGCTGGAATGGTAGGATGTAAACGGTATGATGTAGTGGTTTGCGACGTAGAGTAACCTTTAACTGTGCTCAAGACAAGTAGAAAAGGAAGGTTTATTGGTTAGTCAAAATCAACAACAACAACGAAAGACAAAGATCACTGGAGGTGGACGATGTCCGAGGGCGGGGCGACCACTGATCGGAGGTCCACAACAGGTGCAGGGCGTAATCCGATTCCACTGTTGAGCCACGAAGGCTTTTTCCGTCGAGCCACTAAGGCTCTTTACACTACCCGAGTCACTGAGACTCTTCTCAACGGCCACTGAGGCCTATTCAGCGAGCCACTAAGGCTCTTCTCTTCAGGCCACTCAGGCCAAGTTACTGAGCCACTGAGGCTCCTCTCTGACAAGCCACTAAGGCTCTTCACCAAGCCACTAAGGCTCTCTCTCCGGAGCCTAGGCCCTCCTTCCTACGGACCGTACAGCTCCCAACTAACCACACCGATAAGGCACCACACGATGCCTCTGAAACTGGATACAGGTACACAGGAACACCAGAGCTCTGGAACACCGGAGCTCTGGAACTGGAACAGGAAGCAGAAGAAGTACTGCATAGGAACACGGACCCCTTTTATTGCGACCTTCCCGCCCAAGTCGTTTCCCTCTGGCAAAAGTGGCCTCCATGACCCCCCACGATCAACCCCATACACCTCCTTATCGATATACTGCTCAGACCAGCTGATCTACAGCTGATCTCTCCAAGGCGGCATGTTCCTCTCTGACAGGACACCCTAGCAGTTACTGATCGATGGTGCACAGACGCTCTAACGAAGTTGATTGACCAAGAAATTCTAATAAATGTGCTCATCTGCTACTCACGTGTGCTGCTCAAAAAGGGTGCGTTTTTGACCCATGTGGCAAAAAAGACTCCGGGAAAAATTGTCCAGTTGAGCTGGTAAGTAATAAATTTTCCACCAAACAGTGCAGACCCTACTCTAACTAAATGTATACATATTTTGTCCAGGCCCAACTGTTTAGCAAGGTAGAGGGATGATTTGTCAGATGATGTCAAATTCGACCTACCTCTCTTTTTCGTCTCAAAAAATTCCTAACTTTAATCGTACGAGGTTTTCACTCATACTGGTAAATGGGAAAGGGCTAATGAGTCATTCGATGGATATGCCGTTTCACTCACTGGATTTTGAATTAAAATATTGGTGGTCCGAAACTCGCGGTGAAAAAACGACACTAAGATATCCGGTACCTAATAAAATGATTCACCCCTTCTCTCACCCCCCCCCACACCCCCAAAGGCGTACTCTGTGATGGTAAGGTGAAATGTTGCTCCACAAAATGAAAAAAGGATGTTATATTGAGTGACCAGTGAAGAGGGGTGCAAAAGCAACCAATAAAACTCGCCGAAAGCACATTTGCATGGGCGGAGACCGATGCGCCTCATTATTGGTCCGTCTTCGCCCTGATACGACAAAAAATACGGTACACGGGTTTTGTTCCCAATGCGGTAGGGAGCAGATAACGACCAGTGGGAGGGTGCATCGGTTTCCGCCCAACTTGCGCACAGCGTGTTTTTTTTTCGGTTGAACAGGTTACGTTTGGCATGCAATAACCCATATATAAAAATTTGGGAAGTGTGCCATTAGGGCAGCGCATGCTTTGTTATCTTGTATGATGAAAGATAGATATTGATTACCTTCCGGTTTGTACTTGGAACCCTTCAGTGTTTATGCCCAGCCATTTTGGCGCTGTTAAGAGAAATTGAAGAATTGCTCCGCGTTCAAAAATTTATCACGCTCTCTAGCGTAGCGATAGTCGTAATTGAAACCAGCTCATGAAATGCTTTTCAAATTGCCGCCAATTTAGGTAGGAACAGTGTGAAATTGCGCGACATGGCGAAGTTGACTTGAACGTCCAAAGGCGTCTCCCTATGCGGAAACAGTTTTTTGATAAACCCTATCGGCCATAGCCGTCTCCTTAATTGAATTTTCGAATCAGGATGTCTTGACGAAAACGCAATTTTGAGCCGCGAAACTTCTAACGATTTCAAATCAAACGCAAAAAACATTAATTTAGTCAAAAATAGAATTTCGGATTTTCTTGGACCCAAAATTTTGTGCAGTTCAGCACGGGCCAGCCATGTATATCTGCCATTTCCTTCAACAAAAGAGATCCAACAAGGTCGGGCGGATCAACGGTTTTCTCTTTCCTTGATTATTTTACTATGAAGGATATAAATATTGATTTTTTCGCATGTTTTACACAAGACACTAGTATTTGAACAATAAATGATCACTGCAATTAGCGATAGCGGGCTCAGCGCCCGTCACTTTAGGTCCTGTGGGTTATGGGTTAATCATTGGAGTTACTAGTTCACGTCATTGCAGTTCCGTAGGAATCCACTTCCATCTGCCGTACGGATACGGACACTCCTCCAAATATTTTCTCGAAAAGTCTATTTTTGAATTGAAATAAATTGAAGAACTTGAATTTCGATCATTACCACATTGAATCTGGTATTCATTGGCCTAACATGCAGTGCCTCGATTGCAAGGCCAATTAACAGCCGAAGCGTTATTTTCGCATGGCTTCATTTGCCTATGGAATCACATTTATAGAGCCCTCAACTAATCGATGTTCTTCTCCTTCCTTCAGTCTATGTACCCTCCCTTCAAAAACGAGAAGAGCGTCGGGTGCAGACCATACACCAAATGACGACGGCCTTCCACAAAATGTAAATGTTTTCTGCCAATGAAATGATTAGCCTGTTGCAGTTGTATTCTATCAGTTGTCACTAATTACAACTATCATTTACCAAAAATCAGCTATCACTATGAACCACTACTAACCAGATTTACTTGGAGGCCGTCGTCACTTGTGGTGTATGGTCTGCACCGACGCTCTTCTCGTTTTTTTGAAAGCGAGGATATCTGCCTGTGTTTATCATGAAAAACAGTATTTTGGTATTCCCTGAGTAGTATTCTCCAGGGGTTGGTCAAGACCTGGATGGTTAGGCTTGGGCTATCAATAACAGAACACAGATGAGTGAATTTTCCCATGGTGGGCGGAGCATGCAGCCAGGTGGGCGGGGCTTGAACGTGAAGGCTACAAAAAGGTTCTGGGACCTACTGCGAGATCCTGGGGAAAACTGATCAGGAAAGTCTTTAAACAACATGGTCATTGGCTAGAAGCAAGCGCCTCTCGGTAATCGTGTAAATGTCACAATTATAGTTTTTTTAGACACTATTCATTTTACTAATTTATTCTTTTATTTGTTTATTTACTTATGACCATGTCTACTTTATTCCATATAAGTAAAACTTCGTGACGAATGCGTTGTGCGGCTTCAAACACTTCAAAAATCTCAGTGCATAACCTAATTTGTAATTTATAACTTGTAAGCGTTTTTCGTGTTGAACAAAATGAACTGTTTAATATGCTTATACCTACCTATTTATTGCGTTCAAACCCATTGTCTGACGATCATTGAAGTAAATTGGACATGTTGACTACTGCTCTCTGAAATTAATCCCTTTTTCCGGAACTACAGTACACCTGCTACTTTTTTGAAATTCTTTGAATCAATCACTTTAATTTCACCCCTATATCCATGATTGAACTAAATGACTATCCTCAAGAAAAACGATCGATTCCCATATTTCTTCATCTATAGCCCATATGTAAACGCGTGATTCTGTTTTCGTTTCGACGACGCATTTCTTCACCTACAGGACTCTGTCATCACGTTACGCAACGCAGTGACGTGTGTGATTACGGTCACCGGCGGTTACCGTATCCCTCACACACAAATCACAAAGCATCGCTGCTGCTGCTAGCCCGAAGACGAGCATGCGCCTGCTGCTGTACAAGCAACACAAATGTCGGCCGCTATACCTAAACAGCTTATGATTGTATTGCAAAATGGGTCCTACAAGGTAATATCGATCGAAAGATCATAAAATAGAATTATATAAATTTTCCATTAACTTATATAGTGGAGATAATGAAGTTAAATGGGTTTATGTTGGGATTTTATTAGAACAAATCCTACTGTGACCTATCCGTCAGGTGAGTGAAATGAGCTGAGATTACATTATTGATCGAGGAGTACTGCGAGAAAATCAATACCTTTTTTTCTAGGTGCTCTCGCTGGGCGCCGATGTGCTGCCGGAGTACAAGCTGCAGCCGACGCGCATCCACCATTGCACCATCGTGCATTACAGGTAATCGTCCTGAAATTAATTACTCTTGAATAGTCCTGCATTACTTTCAACTGTTCTTTCGATTTCCGTTTATTCGATCTGGAGCCCCGTCGTTCCTAGCTCTGAGAATTAGATGAATTATTAGCACAAACTTAAAGGCAGTGCACACGATGGTGGGGAGGGACAGCGGTTTCTTCTTCTCAACGCGCTGGAGGAAAAGTTAGGTTGGAACCGCCTCTCAACGCCCTTCCACCAATTAGCGCCAATGACGTCATCACAAACGCCCCGCCTTCCAACCATCGTGGTCACTGCCTTTAACCCGTGATGGAAAACGAACCCGAGCAGCGTAGCGCGTGTGCTGCTGGGGTGCATCTCTTTTTTACGTAGGGGGCCACTGCTATAATTTCCACGGGTCCTCAAGTTCTATTTCATCAAAAGGATTGCACGAGGCTGTCACCGCGCATGCAAAAGCTCATTACATCTCTCTATGATCCCAATGGCCTCCGAAGCAGGGAGGGGGCCACAGCGCGCAGTAGTGGCGCTCGTCATCCGGTTACACACGACGTGTACGAGTTAGCGTTGAAGAAAAGCGAAAGTTTGTTTGCTGAGAATAGATGGCAAAAAAATCAGAGAGGCAGACAGGAGATAACTCGTCCATTTGGAGGAGGGTTATCAGGTCAGAAACTTTTGGGACGTGGTTGCGCCATCTTTACCGTGCTCTTCGGCTCGAAGACTATTTTTCTGAAGGTTCCCCTTTCTAACTCTTCCCTTCAAGTGCACATTAGCTGCTGGTGCATCTGCTAAATGTCCGGAGAAACTTTGAAGTGAAAATCGATTGCCGCTTCAGAAATGAGAGAATGACAAGTAATAAGTGCTCATAGCTACGAACAAATGCAATAAAGTTGATTGGCTGGTGCCTAATTGAACTGGTGGGCTCTGGGAAAAAACGTCGTCTTGTCCAAGAGTCGATGTGGTGGTCGTGCCGGCGGTAGCCGTGGTATGCGACTTGGCGTCCGTGCTGTGCCAGAGAGGTGAGGCTCACGCAGTTTCCTCCCATCTCAGCGAATCCTTCACCTTTGACTGACGGGGGATTCCTGGTTGTCATTTCTGCCTAGACTTCTTTTCCTTTTTTCAGTTTTTAAAATTCTATTTAGTCAAGACAAATTACTGGTTACGGTAGCGTACGGTAGTAAAATTCCCCCTGTACGCTACCGTAACCAACTCTGTTAATTATTATTCGGTAGGACGGTGCAATGACTCAGACTGCCGTGAGGATGAGAATGCAGTTTTGTATTTCAAGGGTTTTACCCTTTGCTCAACGTTCACTTAATACTAAAAATTGTCCTGGATATGACATCACAAATGATGACGTCATTCCTACAGCTTGGGCCTTGCAAGTCTCGAATTACGCCGTAAACCAGCTCAGGAGCCTGAGTTTTGTTCCAGATCTCTGCACCCATGAATGAGACCCGATTGCCCAGCATAAAAAATGCAATTGGTACCTGGACTTATACTGCTTTAATTATTATCGGGTAAATGGTGAAAGTACAGTGTACTGAGTGACAAAAACACTGCGTGCTTTCATCACAAAGCTACTAATTGCATCATTTGAATATTGCATAATTAACTTTATTATATTAGTCCAGTGAACAGCGGTATGTAGTGCGTTTTTGTGAGACAGTCATGTGTGAAAGTAACAATCTCTTTCTTTGAGCTTTAACCGTTTCATGACACTGGACCACTACTCCAAGCAGGGGGTAGGACAGGGTTAGGCAGGCTACCTCAAAAAACTACGGTGAAAGAGTCGGGCCCGATTAGCGCACACTACATTTTTAGCCTGTGAATTTGCTCAATCATTGCCTTAGTCCGACTACCTCTGTTAAAATTACAGGTCTGCTGGCCCCTGCCGGGAGGTCACAAGGTATAATTCACAGCCTTACCCTAATCCATACCTAGTGTCTTCAAAAGTCTGGCACCCTTTGTGAAACGACCGTATTCATGATTATCAAAAGTCAGTAGTTTCAGGCGCAACGCTCCGTGGCGAACTCCAGGGAGCTTCATAGCGAATTTTGAGGCAGAAGGGCATATTTTTCGAGGTGACGATGCTTAGCTAGTTCAGAGTGGGGGAGGGGTATTTGTGGAAGGTGAAGGAGTCGTGGTTGTTGAAGCAAAGGTTGTCGAAGGGTTTCTTGATGTTCTGACAAAAATATTGGCCTTCCTCACCTCCCTTCCTAACGCAGGCAACTAGTGTGGAGGAGGCAGATTATGAGGGGTTGCAGCAGCTTGTGGCTGATTCAGCGGCGCTATTGACATCACCAGCCGCTTGGGGCGAGCTTGTCTTCTCTAAGAGGAGGAGAAGGAATATCTGTATGGTCCTGTTCCACTTTTTCCCATGTTAGAAGTTAACTCTACCCTTGACTCCTTTCTCATCAGTAGGTGCTGTGGCCATTTCCTGATCTCATACTAGCCCCTAGCCGGATTCAAAGGACGAATTCACGATTAGAATGAAGGTCGAAGAAGGGAGTAATTCACCTAGTTGAGGGACCCGGGCCTCCTAAGGGTGCGGACTGAAGCGCAATTGGCACCGAAGGAGTTGACCTCGGCGACCTATTAAGGCTCAATCTTGGCGCGGTGGGCCAGTGCACGCCCACCGATCATCTGATCACTCGCCGCAGGTCTATACGTGGCGAGTGATTAGATAGTGAGAGAGCGTAGTGTTGAAGAGGGCACAGCGATGAGAGTCGCATCAATGCTCAAATCAACGGGCAAGGAAGGGGTCCCATTTCTCGGGTTCTGGGCCGTTTCTCATGGTTTTTCCTTCTTTCGTGTACCACTCACCATCCCTAGGTTAATTTGAAATGGGTTGCCTTTCCAGCGTGAATTCGTCCTTTAAGCGTTTGACTGTCATTCCATGGCCTAAACCTTTCTTTTTTCTACTTAATCATTTCCTACTTGCGAGCCTTTGAAATCGTTGGTGCTTAATTGGTGATTAAATATTTAAGGGAGCTTTGCAAAGCAGAGCGCACAGAAATGGTGAGCTGCATTAGCGAGCGAATTACTAGGGTGAAATTGCTCGGAATGGAGCTGCTCAGACCTTATTGATTTTCGTCTGAATTGCCGGTAATCAGTACTGTTTCAGTCCATTTAAAGCGGTCTGGGACTGGATTATATTGCTGCTCGTTATATATACGGCAGTGTTCACACCGTACGTTGCTGCCTTTCTTCTCAGAGAAGTTTGTAACTTTATTTTCATTGTTTCTAACCTTTGAATATCGATTTTTTGGCCTATACTTTAATTGTATTAGGTTTACTGTGCAATTGAGTGATTCCAGCTCCAAGATACCTCACGTAAGGCTCGATTTTCGGAGCCGCTGGAAATCGTGGATTTGATAGTGGATATTATGTTTATAGTGGACATTATTATTAATTTTCGCACTACATACGTCAATGAAAATGATGAGGTTAGTAGATACACTGTAAGTACCGTCTTAAATTCAGAATAATATGAGGGTAAAGTTTTCGGAGCTCACTAGTATTTTTTGGATTACGCCATGCATTCGACTTTCATTCGAAATAGTGAAGGCCTATAGAGGCCGACTATAACCGACGAGAGCAGAAAGACCAGCGCTATCGCAAGAAACGGCGCTCCTCTGAGGCTTAGCCTAGGAGGGGGCCGGAACCAGGGTCTGTCCTATCGTTGTTACTTTTCGAAAAATTTTTACGACCCCCCTCCCCCAACGTGGATTTGATACGACCCCCTTTTCCCTACCTCCACCATCTCCATCTTCCATCAAAACCCCGCCCACTTTTTCCTCCAAAAATGCCGTCGAGCGGGGGGGGGTATATAGTCACTCTGAAACGGTAAATATCTCCGAAAATTTCCTTCTATTTCCACCATTTCAACCCATTTTTTACCTATACTCCCACTACTTCCTTTCTCTAGGGGGGTATATACGCCCGCTGAAACGGCAAATTTTTATCCTGCGCGCCCTCCACTCGCACAGCCTACTACCCACGAAATCTTAGTTTCACCTCAATCCCACCCCTGATTTTGAGCAACTAAAGTGAGTACGACCCCCTTAATGAGTGGATGTCTCACGCAATCTTAAATGCATTGCTGTCACAATGCCCCTGTATCTTGCGATAGCGCCAAAAGACCAACTTCAACAGAAACCAGCTCTCCAAGGAAATGAATGTACTGTGTTTATGTGGATGAGTAGTCAATTTGAGAGATCGAATGTGGTTTTGAATCCGCTCTTCAGAAGCTACCATTCCCGGCTTCGCCACAGATAGCACCGCCCAGACAGCCTGAGAGCGCCTTTGGGTCCTTCGCTGTCATCACGAACCTTCAAGTGAATCATATTCTACCAGCGTGATGTTTTGACAGCTGCATTGCCCAGCAACGATTTTATGCGGAGACAACAGGAAGTGCTTTGGAGGGGCAAGGTATGGGAACGAAAGATGTGGGGGGAAGGGGAGGTTGGGGGAGTGGCGTTGTAATCCCGACAAGGCCACACCTGACTCTGTAATTACTAGCTGCAGGCGCCAGCCGTGCTCTCAAAATAGGATCCTTCTCAGTTTTTGGACGTGTTCAACCTCTTAATATTGTTAGTTCTCTTTTCATTTATAATCAAGTGCAGATAGCCTTTTGGGAAATTGACTTCTATTTTGGTTACCTTTTTCTGGGAAACTAGAAGACTAACTTGCAAAGGAAAGCATCTAAATATGGAATTGTCTGCAGGGTTTTGAAAAACGTTCCCATTTTCTCGTGACATTTTCGCGGAGATAAGCAGTGGGCGGAGGCCCTGGGACCTTCAGAATGGTCTCTGGATCAAACCCAACAGAGTAGTTATTCTTCGTTACTAAAGTGCGCAACCCTAGCCGTGGAGGACCGAAACAATGAGCCGATCTTTCTTAGATTTGCTCCTGAGTATCATCCTTAACCAGTCGTTGAAGCCAAAAATCTATTTCAAATATCGAACAAATTCGAATGAAATGCAGGTGCATGGCGTATCCTACAGAGATTATTAAGTTCCGGAAGCTTTATCCTCCTACAGAAGCTCATAAGTACTATTTTTGTTTTAAGCCTATTTTTAATTTCAGGTAGTGTCACACCCGGGTAAAATCGCCATCCACTATTTCAAGGGATGGTTCGTCATAGATATGATAGCTGCCGTGCCATTCGATCTGTTATTAGTGAATACTAATAGTGACGAAGTGAGTTTATTTTGCAGAGCTGGCTCGCTTCGAATCAATCAAATCGATATCTTGTCACTAAATCTTAAGTATGAGTCGATAGATAGCTTGAAGAGAGGAAGTAGATTTCGTCAGCTGAATTGCTACTTTAGGATGTAGCATGCCGCATCGAATGTGCTTATGCTAATTTCGGTTTTTTTGCGCTGTCTATCTAAACTGCCAGTTTTTCGATCGTTTCATGCTTGTTCTGGGGATTTGTCGTAGAAAGCGACGTTGCGCGAGGTTACCGCACCCACTTATGTAGGATTTGCGCACCATATGGAACGGATTGCCGCGTTGAAGTTATGGAGCTGCGTTGGTGTGCGCATGCAAATGCTTGGACTATGGGAGTGAGATGCAAGCATTAGGCCGATGTCAGACTTTGCGAATCGCGCGATTCGCTAGCGTCTGCGGTCGCGTCGCGGCCAGTGAATCACTCAATTGGCTGGTACCGCAACGCGACCGCGGACGCTAGCGAATCGCGCGAATCGCTAGTAGCGAATCGCGCGATTCGCAAAGTCTGACATCGGCCTAATGGCGTGTGATACCACACATTTATGGGATACGGTATCGATTGATGGACAGTACTTGAGCGTTGGCGGAATAGTGGACGGATTAGCGTTCGCTCTGGGCTTTCGCTACGGCGGTCAGGAGCCACCGCACAATATAGAACGCGCCATGAAGCTAGAAGCACTGCCGAATGCGTGCCGAAATGGATTTTCACGGACAAGATCGGAGGTCGAAGAAACGGGAATTATGCCGAGTAAAAGGAAGACTCTAGGGCTGGGGGGGTGGGGTCGAGCGCGATTCCGCAGCGAAGAGTGTGCTCACGGGGCCTAACAGGGCCATACTTTCTCCGCGGCACGCCCAATCTCTAGCTATCTGAGCCTCCAGCGGTTCAGCAGAAAGAAGAGAAAAGAGCGCTGAGCTTATAAAGGACAGGCACCGATAGGCCGCATCAAATATGCGAAAGTTTCGGGTTAAGAAGAAGATCCCTTTCTTCGCGGCGTAAAAATAATATATTCTCGAGTGTGCGCCACTTACAACATCGCGTACGCCGCGCGGTGGTCTCCTGACCGATATCCGTACATTTCAGTCCTGTAGGAGCTGATTTTCATTCATCATTGTGAAAAGTACCGTATCCTGAAATTGTAGCGTGTTACTTATATACATACCCATACCCTTCCATTTTTGGAAAGTTGAAAATTCTCTCATTGTATGAAAAATTTCTCAATAAAGATGTGCTATGAAATAGTGAAAATTCGTTCCGAAAAAAGATATTTGAATTTCTCTAGATTAGAAATTCTTCATAAAATCATTACCGAGGTTCTTCGCCATGAGAAGCTCATTGATTACCACCGTATTTTTCAAAATTGCACGGCAATTTTGGATGGCAAAAATTTAGGGTGGACCTTTGTTTATGAAAACGTAGTGTACAAAGGCCCAGTTACAGCTTTGCAGTATCTTTCTAACATTATTCTATGCTTTCAGACCACCACGCTTATTGGCTTACTGAAAACTGCTCGATTATTACGGTTAGTACGGGTAGCAAGGAAATTAGATAGGTGAGTAACTTCGAGTTAGCATACATTATATTAGGGCCGATGTGCCGACTTTGCGAGATCCCGCTTGCGATTGCTAGCGTCTGCGGTGCGTTGGCGGCCAGTTGATCACTCATTGGCTGTAACGCAACACGCGAACGGACCTAAGCGATCGTTCCGATGACGCAAAGTGTACATCGGCGCTATGGCTGTGTGTACAGCGTTCTGTGGATAGCGGGTGGATCGATTGATGTACAGTATTGAGGCGTTGGCTGATATAGTGGACGATAGCGTGCTCTGGCTTTCGTATGGGGTCAAGGAGACACCTCGGCTACCATGAGCATGCTATGGAAGCAACTGCGAAGTGTCTGAAAGATTCACAAGATGCGGAGTCGATAGCAGGGAAATATTATGGATAAAAAGGCAGATCCCATAATGTTGTGGGTCGTATGCGCGTGTATTCGCAGGCGAAGAGTGTGCTCACGGGCCCAACAGGGCATACTTTCTCGTGTTCACGCCCAATCTTCAGCTATCTGAGCCTGCCAGCGGTTTTCAGCGAAAAAGAAAGAGAGAGCTTTAGGGTTAATAGAGGGACAGCACCCGATGTCGACATCAAATGCCGAAAATTTAGGGTAAGGAGAAGAAACCATTATCATTGGGTTCTTGGATTAATAAGTTCTCTTAATCTCTGACTACGACCAGTTTTGCCGTGATTTCTAATGGACTGCCTTTCCATCGTGAACTCCCCTCTAAAATAATATATCTCAAGTGGGCGCCACTTACAACATCGCGTACGCCGCGCGGTGGTCTCCTGACCCATATCCGTACTTTTCAGCACTGTAGGGACTGATTTTCATTCATTATTGTGAAAGTACCGGTATCTAGAATTGTGTGCGTGCTACTTATACATAGCCTCATACGACATTTTTGGAAAGTTGAAATTTTCTCTACGTTGTATGAAAATTTTCTCCACGAAGCGATGTAACTTGTTGAAATAGTGAAAACTTCGTTCGCGTAAAAAAGATACTCGCATTTCTAATTAAGAATTCTATCATATCATTTACGAGTATTAACTAACCGTATTTCTAAAAATGGCACGGGCAATTTTGGAATGGCAAACATTTAGGGTGGAACTTATGTTCATTGAAACCTACGTGTACAAAGTGCTCAGTTACAGCTTTGTATATCCATTTCTATACTTAATTCGATGCTTTCAGAACCACCGAGCGCTAATTGCTTACTGAATCTGCTCGATTATTAGGTTTAGTAGGGTACAAGGAAATTCGATTAGTGAGTAATGAATTTTTAACATGTATTTAATTGATTTAATAAAGACTCAGATTTCCTTCATATGTCCGATGATTCGATTCTTGATACACTATTTCTTTTATAACCTTATTAGAAATTTCTGAATTTTTTTTTATAACTAACAGGCTGGATTGGAACAATTAGTTTGTTTAAGCAGTGATGCGTTCATAGACATCGTTTTTCAGGTAATTTCGATTCGGTTTGCTCTTGTTGTTGTATGTTGGGTTACATGGGACGTTCGGCTCATTTATTTCGCTCATATTGGTTACGGTGTTATATGTAAGCGATTGGAAAGCGGCCCGAATTTACCAACATCCAAAGCGCGAAATCCTGTGTTACATCAGTTGTGTTGGAGTTATCGTCGTGTACGAGTTGTAAGGGAATGGGCGGTGGTTTGCGAATAATAACTGTTGCTTGGGGCTGTAAATACGAAATGAGCTGTCATTATTATTCATATTTACTGGATGCTCTAATGGTTTTCGTGTCCCGCTGGCATTCATTCGTTTGGAAAATTTTTGTTATACCTATCTATGAAGCCGCGTGTACGAGTTGTCATGCTGGTGGGCGGAGCTTCGCGCATCACGAAAAAGTTGTATTTAAGAGTGGTCGCAAGAGCGCGTATGTAGGAAACTTTTTCCATTTTGAACTCTTTATCATCCGTTAACAACTGATTTTCATATCATTTAAGTCCGTGAACGAGTTTTCTCGGTGGTGAGGCGGGTTCTCATATTTCAGACTAAGACAGTTGGCTCGAGCCAGGGCAGTATTAGATCTATTAGAGTAACTTATGTAGAGATCCTCTCGAAATTTCGTTGTTCCCATAAATGCTAATAAAACTATCACTTGGCGGACTCTTGCTTTTTTCAGTAGAGGAACTGTTATATTTCTGGACCAGAAGACCGTCGGCCAGTGTCTACGGTGATCGTCATACTTCCATTATAAATTGAGCATAAATGAGGCAAACGCACATTCGAAGATAATGTGAGGCGCTTGTGCCTAAATTTTCTCATCAATGTCATCTAAAGTTTCATCTAACAGTGCCCGACGTCATATTGCATTCACCAGAAGGTGTTTTGGGGTTCCCGAACGGATTTCTGCTAATGGTAGATGGTGTTCCTGTCTGAGAATACCCGCTTGAGTCTGAAAACCTCATTCCGTTGCGCAACGCTGTGACTGGCATTCAAATAAGCACGATGAAGCGCGAGCGTTTCCAATTTGCATTGTTTCTGCATAGGAAATTTGGACATTATGCCTCTTGGTTGGCTAGACCTATCGAATTTTCTTGAGCAGAGCAACGTGAGCATTGAAAACCCTGGAAAATTTAGCTGCAGAGAAACTTTATGGCAACTATCGGACAAGATACGGCCATCCTTAGGGAATTGCATATGCGGATTGCACGTTGAATATTCTCTTTCTTGAAAAAAGTGAGTGCGCCTAAAGCGAGGAGAATAGCGATGAGCAACATTTTCATCCTCCGCTAGTTCCTGGCCTCTGCCACATTAGCTAGTTGAGGCCTAGAAGAACCTGCATCTTGCGATATGCGCCCATGTGTCCATAAATCCTATAACTCCATAATTCAGTTGTAACTGTAACGTGATGAGAATAATTGGGTACGATTCATCTGGACTCGCACGTAGCCTGAAAATAATGTTAGATCTAGGTTTCAGGGCTACTTTTAATTCTCTCATGAGGAAAATATCCTGTAATTTCCTGGCAACGAAAGAGGGACGCAGACAGATTACCGCTCAAAGCTCGTGCTGACGGTATTGAATGGAACGGGGAAAGTTCGGATAAATAATGAAAAAAAGTTTCTTGAAGGCGATTTTGTGAAAGTGAACCCTACGTGTTAACGCCCCAGGTTATGTGCTTCCAATGAATGACACGACTGCTAAGCATAAGTCTATCCTTTGGTGGTATATTGTGCGATGTTATTTGGGTTCTCATCCAGTAAAGGAGAGGGGGGACATCGTTGTGCACTGGCTAAGGATTCCTTCAAGATTGCGAAGTGCTAGCAGCTTAATTTATGCGTCATTTGTGCAGTTTTTTTATAACTGTACGTGTTCTTGTGGTGGATGACATGAACGCCTACCGAGGAGAAGTAATACTCACCTAGTGAGCTGCTAGGGGAGCCGAGTAGGAGAGGAACGCTGGAGAAGATGAGATTGCTCGCGCAGCTCGAATCTCTCCCTCCCCCTTCTGAGGTGTAGTTCAAAACTTTTACAGTAAAAAAAGGTTTTTGTGATTTGAAAGCGATGGGCGCTTGCCTCCCATATTGGATGAGACCCTGCTTTTTTTGTTTTGTTCCATATGTCAGTATCTATCGATAATTTTCAAAGTCATTGAAATATTCCAGCACGGCATCTGAACGAGCCATATTTGTCGACAAATGGCACAGTACCTACGGGTGGACCGTCGTTAAAGAGTCGATATGTGACGTCATTGTATTTTACATTGTCGACGATTACTTCCATAGGTTTGTTGGTTTTTTGGGCTAGGAGGGGATCTCTTATTCACTAAGCAGCTAGTAATTTTTTAGTAAAAATGTATATACATAGCTTTACATTTTTAGTAAAACTGTAAAGAGTCATAACTCTGACAAGATTCTGGGGAAGAATTTTCCACTTCTCGATTTCCAATAAGCCCTGAAAAAGTCTTCAATCGCTCTAAACCATAGTGGCTCCTGGTGGGTGGGGCCATTTACTGTTAGGTATTTTTCTGGCTGATAGCTGCGGTGGCTTAAGCTGGCCAATCATAGGTCGTTAAAGCGACTTTTCCAATGTCTCGGCCACGCCTACCCCGCTAACTTTTCCGTATCTCAACCACGCCCACTTCCACTTGGGAATCACTGTTGGATTTGATAGATTTCACCGTAACTGAATATTGTTATCGATTATCAAATTATCGATTAGTTCATTGACCAATAATAGCAGCTTGTGTTCCACTGATTGCATCTTGCAGGCTTCGGCAACGTCTCTGCGACGACGGATTCCGAAAAGATTTTCACTATTATAATGATGATTCTAGGATGTGAGTTCGCTATCGATTTTTGAGGAGTTATCGATTAGTTAGCCTTATTACCTATTTTTAAACTTTTGAATTTAGCTTTAATGTATGCCTCTGTATTCGGTAACGTGTCAGCCATTATACAACGGTTATACAGTGGAACAGCACGGTTTGTCTTTGTTTACCTGAAAAATTGTTTATATAGGGCCTTATTTGGGTAAATATGCTATTTTGCAGTTATCATACGGAAATGTCACGATTGCGTGAGTTCATCCGTTTCCATCAGATTCCGAATCCGTTACGACAACGGCTTGAGGAATACTTTCAGCACGCATGGTCATATACCAATGGTATTGATATGAATCTGGTAAGACTTTTGAATTATTGATTTTTCGCTCTCCAAAAAACCCTTATTAAGTCTTCTGTACTTCACATCAATGATAGGCGATTCGATCGATACGTATAGTTTTCGTTAAGGTGTTGAAAGGCTTTCCGGATTGCCTACAAGCGGATATTTGTCTACATCTGAATCGGAATCTGTTGAGTAGTTGTCCGGCGTTTGCTGGTTCATCACCCGGATGTTTACGAGCGTTGAGTATGCGGTATGTTGCAATAATCGATCATTTTACACCGTTTTCATTTATTGATTTATTGATTCTTGGTGAATTTTTGAATTATTACCTTGAATGGCCGGCCAACATTTGACACTCAGTGCCACTCGGTCATCCTGTACCATCCCAACCCATTGTGAACCACCCAGTCAAATTTGGGATTTCGCCAACACCTTCTCACAGTCGCTCAGGTTAGGTGTTTAGGACTCCAATAAGGCTTCCAATTAATCTTCCGCCCTCTTCCTTGATTTGCGCCAGACATTTATCTTCTCTAGTGTCACTAGTCTGTCCGCCACTACCCTCAGTTTTATACTGCTATTTTCCATATATTTTTATTGTCGAACTTAGATTCGGACTACACTTAAACCAACCCCAGCATCAGCTCCACGCCCCACCTGGTGACACGCTGGTACATCGTGGTGACATACTCACAGGATTGCATTTCATCGCCAGAGGCAGTGTAGAGATCCTTAACGACGACAACACCGTCATGGGTATTCTCGGTGAGTTTATCTATTTATTTGTTTACTTATTTGTTTATTTGCGCGGCCTGATGTCGAGAGTTTAATAATTTTTTTCCCCAGAGTTTTTTCTTTTTTAGAATCCAGAAATAGTTCAAATTTCCGCGCTTTCAGTTGTGATCCCCATTTTTCTTCATAAGAATTTGCAAGATTTTGCTGCTGTTCCGCAAGGTTGCTACAGTATGTAGTGGTGACTGATTTCAGGGAAGGACGACATATTCGGCGAGAATCCGTTGTTGTACGAAGATGTGGGAAAGTCATCGTGTAACGTTCGAGCTTTGACTTACTGCGATCTTCACAAGATTCTCAGGTACCACCACTTCTCCTCCTCGTTTATAATACCGTTAATTAGATCGTTATGAAATCGAGAAACGAGTAATTCTCACCAGGAAGGTCTTTCAGGGCGTGACGAGCTTTTTGAAAACGGTCTTTTGCATGATATAGGGGCAGATGCGGGGACCACAGAACCATGTTTAATTTTTCCTGAACGGCCCTCTGAATACCAGAAAAGGGGGTCCCTAGTTCGATTCCTCTTGGTGACAAATTTTTGCATTTCGAGTTGACGTTCCAAAATTCGCGCAAAATGGAGTTCTGATTGTTCTGGTTGGTTCTAACTCCATTTTGCGCGAATTTTGGCACGTCAACTCGAAATGCAAAAATTTGTTACCACGAGGAATCGAACTAGGGACCCCTTTTCTGGTATTCAGAGGGCCGTTCAGGAAAAATTAAACATGGTTCTGTGGTTCCCGCATCTGCCCCTATATCATGCAAAAGACCGTTTTCAAAAAGCTTGTCACGCCCTGAAAGACCTTCCTGGTAGTGCAGTGCTCAGCTTCGGCGGCGCTCTACATGATTAAGGGACAAACAGTCTATTCAGTGTTCTGTTCAGATTTTGAATCCAATCTACCAAAACTTTCCAGTCTTCTGGGAGGCCTTCGAGTCGATTAGTTGGCAGAATTTGAAAACTGATTTGCATAACACTTATCATTCTAGGCCCCAATAGCATTTAAATTACTCTACTCTCCTGAACGGAAGTAGAATGTGCGGTGCATACTGAAATGCAATGAGTGAGGCCCATTGCCTTATCCTTTACCTTTTGTAGAAGAACCGGACAAGCAGTCTTCATAAAAGCGCTGTTCAAATTGTGAAATCGGAGGCTAGTTGCAGAAAGCCCCAAAAATTCCGTTCACCAGCTAAATTTTTTGCACATTTTCGAGCCTTTTAAGGCTACGTCCAAACTTTTATGGTGAGTAGGAAAAGGTTCAGAAGCGGATGACCTTATTGGAGCGAAGGCCAAAAGGTTACAAGATGTTTCTAGAGCCCAAATTCCAAAAATTACCTATGAGACGGGATTAAAGCCATGAACAAAACGAATGTAAGCTCTTTAAAAAAGCGCTTCACTGGTCTATTGACTATTGCGTAATACAGTGCTGTGTTCCAGGCCAAACAAGTGATTTCTCTGGGTAAGAAATTATGTTTAGGGATGATCTGTTGGACGTGCTCGATATGTATCCAGAGTTTGCGGAGAATTTTTGTAAGAACCTCATCATCACCTACAATCTTCGCGATGAATCACAATCGACACGGAAACGATTTGATCGTCATAAGCTCTTACGAATGTCGTCATCACTGAACAAAGATCGATACGGTACGCCCGTAGATGGTTCGTCGTGCTTGTCTACTTTATTGATTTTTTATGTTCATTCGGTACTAAGTTATCTTGGGTTTTGCCACAATGGGCAACTCTTTTTAGCTCCCCATTTACTGTTGACCAAACCTGGGAGGGTTGTATAGCAGTAGGTCACAGCGCGACGCCGCGACAGTCCATTCTCAATTGCCGTTCAAATTTTCGCGCCAAATGGGGATGGACTGCTTTGCGGTGCGCGCTGTCTGCCCGTGATAGGTAGCCTGCAGCGCAGCAGGACCGTCAAAATACGATATACCTGCGATTTTTCCTGTGCTCAACTAGGCGTATGCGCAGGGGCAGTTTATCTGCATTTGGCGCGCAAATTTGAACTGAAAGAGAGCGCGACGTCGCGCGGTGACTTTCTGCTACAGGACCACCTGAAGCGGGGTCACACAGCGGCCACTAGGTGCTTTTTGGATGTTGCGATTCCTCCCTTCAAATGCTACTTACTCTTTTGGAGGCTCAGTTGTAGAGAACCGTTTCCAG